GATGGGGGTTGTTACCTAGGGCTCACAGGGATTTGGGAGTACAGGCACGGAGCTGTCCGGCCCAGCGGCCCTCCCCGCGCCCCGTGCCCGCAGTGAGGCACCGCCCGCCCCCCCAGCGTTCATCCAAGGGGCTGCTTCTCATCCCAGTGCCTGGCATAGGGTTCCTGGGAAACTGGCTGCTCCATCCCTGGAAGGGTTCAAAACCAGGTTGAGTAATTTGGGCTAGTAGGAGGTGTCCCTGCCCATGGCAGGGAGTGGGAATGGATGGGCTGTAAGGTCCTTCCAGGATTCAGGGCAAAGTCTTGCCCAGGAAAGAATTTGGAAGGAGATCAGCACAGCTTTGCAATGACAGGCATTAAAAGAAGCCTCAGGATGACCTCACTGTAACCTGAAGGAGGTGACAAGAAAGAAGGAAAGAGACTATTTCCGAGGGAAGTGAAGTGTTCCAGGCCAGGTTGGATGGGGCTTGGAGCAACCTGTGGGAGGGGTCCCTGCCCATGGGAACTGGTCCTTTCCAACTCAAACCATTCCATGGCAGATTTTAGCCCTGGTATTCCAAGAACAACAGCAGAAATAGAGCCCAGACTTGGATATTCGACACTTTATTCTCTGTCTCTACTTCGTTATAAACACCTTGAGCTCAGAACTGGCACCATTGGATGGGGCTTGGAGCAACCTGTGGGAGGGGTCCCTGCCCATGGGAACTGGTCCTTTCCAACTCAAACCATTCCATGGCAGATTTTAGCCCTGGTATTCCAAGAACAACAGCAGAAATAGAGCCCAGACTTGGATATTCGACACTTTATTCTCTGTCTCTACTTCGTTATAAACACCTTGAGCTCAGAACTGGCACCACCACACTGAAGGAGTTACTCAAACAGACCGCAAACAGAACACACCAAAATGTTCCTCCCTTGGCCTCAATCCCAGGAGGACATTTGGCCTACCCCTAAGTATGGACACCTGTGGACAATACTTCATTAATATAAGAGACAAATCCCTTTTTTTTTCTTCATTTCCCCCCCTGGAGACACTTTGTGTCATTGATTTTTACCTCCTTGAAACCTTCATTCCCATTTTTCTGCAGGATTGGGAGTGCTCAGCAATGCTGCTCAGCCCTTCCCAGCACCAATCCCTGCTTCACAGGCTCTGGGGATGCTGAGCACACCAGCCTGGTCCTGCAAGGTGCTTTAATTTCATGGTAAAGGATAGAAAATAGTCTTTAAAACCATAGCAAGGTTCAAGGGGCAGTTCTGGTCCCACTGGAGGACATGGAGACACACACAGAGCTGGAAGGACACACCAGGGACAGGACAGAGGCTGGAGCTGAGATCACTGCAAGGTGTTACAAAAAGGAGAGAAAACTCTACCCCTCCTGCAAAGAGAAAGAATTCCCTTGTCCAGAGCTGGAAGGACACACCAGGGACAGGACAGAGGCTGGAGCTGAGATCACTGCAAGGTTCAGCCCTCGGTGTTACAGAAAGGAGAGAAAACTCTACCCCTCCTGCAAAGAGAAAGAAGCAGTTTCCCTTGTCTGCAGTGTCTGTGTCCTCCATGTGACACCTCCAGGGCAGCTGCTTCCCCCTGGAGCTGGGACTTGGTTAGAAATCTGCAGTTCTGGGCAGGACAGAATATTTTTCCAATAAAAAAAACCCCTTGAATATTCTATTTCTCCTCTGTGTTCACTTCTCTAGGCTCCCCAAGCATCGCTGAGCTGCTCAGGGTGGATCAGCCCTTCCTCACAGCTGATTTGATTTCTGCTTGTGCTGGAAATGGTCATGAATGTGTTGTGTCATGTGTCCTCCCTGTGCTCAGAGGACAGCCCTGACATACTGACCCCACTCTGTCCCCCCCTGGGGACGTCACCATGGCTTCAGCTTCACAAAACACCTATTTCTGGGGGGTTTAGCCCCTCCTGTCCCAGCTGTTGTGTTCTGTGTCCCTGTCCTGGGGCAATGAACCTCCTATACAAATTGATTCTCCTCCAGGTGAGGTTTTTCCCTGGACACGCTGTTCTAAGCCCAATCCTTGGGGGTGCAGGTCATGGTCACAGCCTCACAGATCAAACCTGGCTGGATCCCTCCAGCTGGAGTGGTGGAGCCTCAGGCTCTCCACAGTCCCCATGGAATTATGGCTTTTCCTTTCTGGTTACTTGTCCTGTAGTAAAATCTGCAAATGTTTATCCTGTAGCTTGGTCAATGCTGATTAAAAAAACTTCTTTTCCAGAAGTTTGTGCACTGATTTTGTTTAAAAAAGACCCAAATAGGAACAAACTCGTTGTCCTCCCTCTGGATCAGCAGCACCGTGATGTGGCACAGAGGCTCCCAACGTGCTGTAGTTGTGTTGCTCTTCGTTGTGTAGATCCCAACCTGGAATGCAGAGGAGAAGCCAGACCAGCACTCCCAGTCCAGGGCAGTCCTACCAGCACCACAGATCCAGAGCAAGACTGAAGGTGGGAACACATAACACTTGAGTGGAGCAAAAGCACAAATCTGAGGTCGACTACCATCTAGGGATGACAAGGGAACCACTGGCACACGATTTCTCCAGAGAGGATCAGACAGTTGGATTCAAAGGCTCCTAAAACCTCACTAACACAGCAGCAAACCTACAGCTGGGGCTGCTGACAGGGCTGGAGGTATCACGGCGACAGGAATCCGAAGGAACAAACCCTCCAGGACTATTTACAGGAACACACAAACCCCTGAAAGACAACTCATTGCCTTTGGAGGGTGTGAGGGTGAGAGAAATCCTTTGTTCTGCTGTTTGCTCCTCATTTTTTAAGCCATTTAGTATTTTTCCAAGCCACAGTGCCCCAAACTGTTCATTGGTCTGGAAGACTGAGTCACCTGCCTTGCTCCCTCCGCCAGGTCTGCACAGACACACACGCACAGCGATCAGAGATGACTGCACTGGCAACAGGACACGAAACAAGGATGTTCCACAGCACAGACCACAGGCTCAGGGTGCTCCTGTGCCCCCCAGGACCCTCACAGCACCCAAGGCTTGGTGGGTGTTGGTTGCAGATGCTGTGGCCGTTAGCTCTCGCAGCCAGCGCCAGGCACGGGGACCTGGGACACGGTGGGGTGCTCATTTCGGAATGCATCGAGGTCCTCAGTGGCTGTAGCTGCAGGGCTGGTGGTGCCTGTGCCCTGGGGCAGGTGGGTGCCTCGGGGCCCCCCCTGGGTGCGCCCACTGCGGGAGCAGTCGTGGTGCCCATGGTTGCCCAAGCGGCTGGAAGCCACCACGGCTTTCATGGCAGCCTGTGGCAAAAGCACAGAGGCACAGGATTACAGGAATACAGTCACAGAATCACAGGATTGCAGCATTATAAAATACCCTGAGCTGGAAAAGACCCCAAGGATCATTGATCCAACCCCTGACCCTGCAGAGGACACCCCAAAAATCCACCCTGTGCCTGAGAGCATTGGTCAAACACTCCTGGAGCTCTGTCAGCCTTAGGGCTGTGACCACTGCCCTGGGGAGCTGTTCAGTGCCCAAACACCTCTGGGGGAAGAACCTTTCCCTGATATCCAACCTAACCCTGTTCCAGTGCCCAAACAACCTCTGAGGAAAGAGCCTTTGTTTGATACCCACCTAAACCTTCCCTGGCACAGCTTCAGCTGTTCCCTTGGGCACAGAAGAGGTCATTAGTGGGTATTTGACAGAATTCTCCCCTTCCCAAGCCCCTGGAGCACGTGGAAGGGGAGATGGCTCCTGATCCTTTCAGCCCATCCCTTCCCCCCAAACAAGGCTTTTCCCTTCAGCAGCTCCATCATCCTCCACCCCCTCACATGTCACTGGATGTTTATTTGCACAGCACAGGGGATCCATGAACCCGTGACAACAGTTCTGGGTGGCCCCAGCTGTTTGCATGTAGGGACACAATCCACGAACCACCTCCAGGGTGACAGGGTGGCCTCTCCTTACCTTCAGTTTCCTCCTGGCGTTAAATTCCTCCAGTTTCTTCTGTGTGCTGTCCATGTGAGCAAACTTAGCAGCTTTCCCAGTGACCCAGGGATGCTCCAGAGCCTGGTAGACTGTCAGTCTCTTCTGGGGGTCCAAAACGATCAGTTTTCTGACCTGAAAGCAACAAAAGCACCCCAAGTTTTGTTATTTCACAAGCACTGACCCAAAGCCTTGACCCCAAGCCCTGGTACTGCCTCACTCACCAGGTCCTTGGCATTGAGGGACACCTCATCCCACCACGGGGACACAAACTCATAGTCACAGGTGAGGATGCGACTGTACATGTACTGGTCCCCTCGGGGGTCGAAGAAGGGCTCAAAGCCACAGAGCCTGTGAGGGGAGAGAGGAGTTGCAGCACTGCCATGGGATGGGGTGGAACAAACTCTCCTCTAGACAGAGATACTCACAGGATGTAGGTGATGACACCCACACTCCACATATCCACTTCAGGGCCATAGGGACACCCGTGGAGGATTTCAGGGGCTGGAAGCAGAGTTTGGGGTTCAAACACATCCATGTGAGAGCTCCCAGTGTGGAGGATGCACCTCCTGGCCACTAGCAGCATGTCCCAAGCCCAGCACAGCCACTGGTCATCACTGCACCAAGCTGTGCATGGCCTCAGGTGGGGAAAGGCTCCCCCCCAAATCCCCCTCCCACCCCCAGCTCTT